AAGGGTCTAAAGCAGTATTGGTCAAGTAGGTAAGAGACCACCAGAGAATAGACTATATTATACACGAGATTCTAAATACAAACTTCAAGGTAGACACTAAAATAAAGTACAGAACAGAGTCACAAATCATAAATAAGGAAAAAGCTAAGAAACCCAGCATAAGAAATTGCAGTATTAAATGGGTAGTCTAAAGCACACAGGAAAAGAAACGCAGGAAAACAAGATAATGAGTGACAGATTAACAGCACTCAGTCCACATGCATCAATAATCACTCTCAATGTGAATGGATTGAACTCTCCAATAAAAAGACACAGAGTGGCAAAATGGATTAAAGAACACGATCCAACAATTTGCTGCCTCCAGGAAACACACCTCAGCCCCGAGGACAAACACAGACTCAGGGTGAAGGGGTAGAGGACAATACTTCAAGCAAATAGCAAGGAAAAAAGGCAGGTGTTGCAATTCTCATATCAGACCAAGTGGATTTCAAAATAAGACAGGTAAAGAGAGACACAGTGGGACAATATATAATGATCAAAGGGACACTTCATCAAGAAGAAATAACGCTTATAAATATCTATGCACCCAACACAGGAGCACCAAGATTCATAAAGCAACTATTAACAGACCTAAAGGAAGATGTTAAAAACAACACAATAATAGTAGGGGACCTCAACACCCCACTCACATCAATGGACAGATCATCCAGGCAGAAAATCAACAAGGAAATAGTGGAGCTAAATGAAAAACTAAAACAATTGGATTAGAAATTAATTACAAGAAAAAAGCTGAGAAAGGCACAAAGATGTGGAGACTAAACAACACACTACTGAACAAGCAATGGATCATTGAAGAAATTAAAGAAGAAATAAAAAAATACCTGGAAACAAATGAAAATGATAGCATGCCGTACCAACTCATATGGGATACAGCAAAAGCTGTATTAAGAGGAAAATTCATCGCAATACAGGCACATCTTAACAAACAAGAAAAATCCCAAATAAGCAACCTTAAAGCACACCTAACTGAACTAGAGAAAAAAGAACAAATGAAGCCCAAAGTCAGCAGAAGGAGAGAAATAATAAAAATCAGAGCAGAAATAAATACTATTGAAACGAAAAAGGCAGTAGAAAGGATCAATGAGACAAAGAGCTGGTTTTTTGAGAAGATAAATAAAATTGACAAACCACTAGCCAGGCTTACAAAGAAAAAAAGGGAGAAAGCTCAAATAAACAAAATCAGAAATGAGCGAGGAGAAATAACAACAGACTCTGCAGAAATACAACAGATTATAAGAGAATACTACAAAAAACTATATGCCAACAGAATGGATAACCTAGAGGAAATGGATAAAGTCTTGGACTCCTACAATCTCCCAAAGCTCACTCAAGAAGAGGCAGACAATTTGAACAGACCAATCACAAGGAAAGAGATAGAAACAGCAATCAAAAACATTCCAAAGCATAAAACCCCAGGACCAGATGGCTTTCCTGGGGAATTCTACCAAACTTTCAGAGAGGATTTAATACCTATCCCTTTCAAGCTATTCCAAAAAATTAAGGAAGATGGAACACTTCCTAACACATTCTATGAGGCCAACATCATGCTGATACCAAAACCTGACAAGGACACCACGAAAAAAGAGAACTACAGGCCAATATCACTGATGAACATAGATGCAAAAATTCTAAACAAAATTTTGGCAACCAGAATTTAGCAATTCATCAAAAGAATCATACATCAGGATCAGGTGGGATTCATACCAGGGACACAGGGATGGTTCAACATCCGCAAATCAATCAACGTGATACACCACATCAAAAACTGAGGAATAAAAACCACATGATCATCTCAATAGATGCAGAGAAGGCATTTGACAAGATCCAACAGCCATTTATGATAAAAACTCTGAAAAAAATGGGCATAGAAGGAAACTACCTCAACATAATAAAGGCCATATATGACAAACCCATAGCCAACATCATACTCAATGGGCAAAAACTGAACGCCATCCCCCTGAAATCAGGAACGAGACAAGGATGCCCTCTATCACCACTCTTATTTAACATAGTACTGGAGGTCCTGGCCAGAGCAATCAGGCAAGAAAAAGGAATAAAAGGAATCCAAATAGGGAGGAAAGAAGAGAAACTCTCACTGTTTGCAGATGACATGATCTTATATATAGAAAACCCCAAAGAATCCATTGGAAAACTGTTAGAAGTAATCAACAACTATAGCAAAGTTGCAGGGTATAAAATCAATTTGCATAAATCAGTAGCATTTCTATACTCCAGTAATGAACCAACAGAAAAAGAACTCAAGAATACAATACCATTCACAATCGCAACAAAAAGAATAAAATACCTTGGGGTAAATTTGACTAAGGAAGTGAAGGACCTATATAATGAAAATTACAAGGCCTTTCTGAGAGAATTGGATGACGACATAAGGAGATGGAAAGACATTCCATGTACATGGATTGGAAGAATAAACATAGTTAAAATGTCCGTTCTACCTAAAGCAATCTACAGATTCAACGCCATCCCAATCAGAATCCCAATGACATTCTTTACAGAATTAGAACAAAGAATCCTAAAATTCATATGGGGCAACAAAAGACCCCCGAATTTCTCAAGCAATCCTGAGAAAAAGAACAAAACGGGAGGCATCACAATCCCTGACTTCAAAACATACTACAAAGCTACAGTAATCAAAACAGCATGGTACTGGTACAAAAACAGGTGCACAGATCAATGGAACAGAATTGAAAGCCCAGAAATAAAACCACACATCTATGGACAGCTTATCTTTGACAAAGGAGCTCAGGGCATACAATAGAGAAAAGAAAGTCTTTTCAACAACTGGTGCTGGGAAAACTGGACAGCCACATGTAAAAGAATGAAAATTGACCATTCTTTTTCACCATTCACCAAAATAAACTCAAAATGGATTAAAGACCGAAAGGTGAGACCTGAAACCATAAGGCTTCTGGAAGAAAACGTAGGCAGTACACTCTTTGACATCAGTATTAAAAGGATCTTTTCGGACACCATGCCTTCTCAGAGAAGGGAAACAATAGAAAGGATAAACAAATGTGACCTCATCAGATTAAAGAGCCTCTTCAAGGCAAATGAAAACAGGATTGAAACAAAAAAACAACCCACTAACTGGGAAAAAATATTTGCAAGTCATATATCTGACAAAGGCTTAGTATCCTTAATATATAAAGAACTCTCGCAACTCAACCACAAAACATCAAACAACCCAATCAAAAAATGGGCAGGAGACATGAACAGACATTTCTCCAAAGAAGATATACTGATGGCCAATAGGCGCATGAAAAGATGCTCATCATCGCTGATCATCAGGGAAATGCAAATCAAAACTACACTAAGATATCACCTTACACCTGTTAGAATGACAAAAATATGTAAAACTAATAGCAACGAATGTTGCAGAGGTTGCAGAGAAAAAGGAACCCTCATACACTGCTGGTGGGAATGCAAACTGGTGCAGCCACTATGGAAAACAGTATGGAGATTCCTCAAAAAACTAAAAATAGAACTACCGTACGATCCAGCCATCCCACTACTGGGTATTTATCCAAAGAGCCTGAAGTCAGCAATCCCAAAAGTCCTGTGCACCCCAATGTTTATTGCAGCACTGTTTACAACAGCCAAGACGTGGAAGCAACCTAAGTGCCCATCAACAGACGAATGGATAAAGAAGATGTGTTACATATATACAATGGAATACTACTCAGCTGCAAAACAGAACAAAATCATTCCATTTGCAATAACATGGATGGACCTTGAGAGAATTATGTTAAGTGAAACAAGCCAGCGAGAGAAAGATAATCTGTGTATGACTCCACTCATATGAGGAATTTAAAACGATGGACCAAGAACAGTTTAGTGGATACCAGGGGAAAGGTGGGGTGGGGGGTGGGCACAAAGGGTGAAGTGGTGCACCTACAACATGACTGACAAACATTAATGTCCAACTGAAATTTCACAAGATTGTAACCTATCAATAACTCAAAAAAAATAAATAAAAAATTTAAAAAATTTAAAAAAAAGAAAAAAGCAATTATATATGATCAAAAATATATCACATACATGTCTATTCAATTGACTTTGTTCTATGCTTAACCATTTTGCCCCAAGGTAATAAGTAGGAAGAACTCAATGGGTGGAGGAACAAAGAGGAAGAAGAAACTCTTAGGAAAGACATCTTTGATTTTTATCTCAAAATATTTCCTTGCCACATAAAATTATACTGTATTTTATCTGTTTACATGTGGAGAGTTCCCTTTGTGAACTTTTGAGAATAGGGATCATGTCTTAGTCGTTTTTGAAGCTCTAGAGCTGTACTGTCCCATATGGTAGCCACTAGCCACATGTGGCTATTGAGCACTTGAAATGTGGTTAATCTGATTTGGGATGTGCTGTAAGTATAAAATATACACTGGATTTTAAAGACCACTACCAAAGCAAAGGATGTAAAATATCTCCTTAATAATTTTTTACATTGATTACATGTTGAAATGATAACATTCTGGATTAATAGATTAAATAAAAATATTATAAATTTCACCTATTTCTTTTGACCTTTTTTAATGTGGCCACTAGAAAATTTAAAATTACATGTGTGATTCACATTACATTTTTGTTGTTCAGTGTTGCTCTAGAGCCTGAAACAGTGTTTGGTAAAGTCCTAAGTAAATGTAAAGAAAGAGGGAGGGAGGGAGGAGGGAAGGAGGAAGGATGGGAGAAGGAAGGAAAGAAGGAAGGAAGGTGTATTTAAATGTAGGCTATTACTATGTTGATATCAGTGATAATTTGCGTCAAGGAAACAACTTTGGGTGTCTGTGCTATAGACACAGAGACTTGGGACCAGGAGGTGGTGATTATTTGGAGGACTAGAGAGAATGTATATTAGTACCCACATAGGCAATATGACTAACCAGATCATAATAATCTTTTTTTTCTCTTATCAGACCCAAAGTATGGACCTGGCATATACTTCACCAAGAATCTCAAAAATCTAGCATCCCAGTTCAAGAAAACGTCTGCCACAGATAAGCTGATCTATGTGTTTGAGGCTGAAGTACTCACAGGCTCCTTCTGTGAGGGTCATCAGTTAAATATTGTTCCCCCACGATTGAGTACTGATGCCATAGATAGCCATGACAGTGTGGTTGACAATGTCTCCAGCCCTGAAACCTTTGTTATTTTTAGTGGCACGCAGGCTATGCCCCAATATTTGTGGACTTGCACCCAGGATCATGTAGGGCCAGAGGATTACTCATTAGGACAAATGTTGCCGTCTCCACAGCAGCTTGGGAAGAGATTCGTAAGTGGCAGCCCTGTTGACTAACTTCTGCATAATTTTAACAACTGGCATGGCCCTGCTTTGGAGAAACTAACGAAATATTGACCATCAATGACTCAAAGACTGGTCTGAATATGTCAAATGGCTCTGGATAGACTGAATGGGTTACTGAAGGGGCCAGCCACATACTAGCATCTTGGTGCCTTCGTCTTTGTTTTCATCTCTTGGGGGTGGGGTGGGTAGATACTAACTAAAACACTCTCAGGACCATTCCTTCTCCGTCATAATGTCCTTTCATCTTCTTTACTACAGGTAACAGCAAAAATATCTTACATGTAACGAAGAGATTTTTCTAGTATATAATTCAAGCCCTCTATTTTTTAAAATGGTGATAGTATAACATATTAGGACAGCAGGATGATTTTCGATTTTCCAGAGAATCTTATACAGTGCTTTAGATATCAAAATAAATCACCTTTATTTGAGTAACTGACTTTGAAGAAGTACATGTAAAATGAAGTTATTTGAAGTGGAAGGACATCAAAAGCCTGATATTCTACTGATATCCTGTTGGGATTCAGTCATATCAAGCAATGCCACTCAAGCACCATGAGGCCCAATTATTAATTCACCAACTATTTCCTGATAACCAGATGTGTTTCAGTCACTTTCTGTGTGCTAGAGATAAGATGCTGAATAAGACAAATGTCTTCATAAAGCTTTCAGCCTGAATAGTCAAAAAGGCAGCGATGGAAAACTTAACAAGTGTGATTGGGTATAACAAAAGAGGAAATATACAGATTCTGTGGAAAAATTTAAAGGAGAGAGGGATAAATTAATCAGGGGTTGGGAGGCAGGCCTTCTAACAACAGTGAAACTCAAGCTGAGACCTGAAGAATTTGTAAGAGTTACATGAATAAGAGATGCAGCAAATCAGGAGCGGAGACAAGAGTATTTTATGCAGAGAGAGAATAGCTCTTATAGAGGCTGAATTCACTGTGACTGTGCCCAAATTTGACTTCAGAGTTCTGCATTGTAGAAGCCAGCAAATCTCACCAAGCATCTCTTGCTATTCTGAAATCCATATTTCTCTATACTTTCAAACTTTCTTGACCCTCACATCTTCAACCTCTTGCACAGAACATTTCCTCCTCCTCATCTTACCATAACCAGCATTCTTCCTCTTGAAAGAAGCATGCTTATTGTCTCATATGGTATCATCCTTGGATATGGGCAAGAGGGGCCCTGCCTTGGACCGCTAGTTTGAGAGGGCCCCACTCTGGCCTTGCCCCAACTGTGCCTATCTCTACAAGGTGAGAATCCACAGGTCAAGAGAATTTATTCATTTGGAGCCCACACACCTCACTCCAAAACCACCCACTAGGTACCTGGAACCCACAAATTTCCTGCCTAAACAGCTCCAAGTCTATTTCCAGGGCTTGACTGGTCCTCCTTCTTGGGTCTCTCCTCCTGAGAGTGGACTAGGCCATAGTCTGTAGCAAGAATGGGCAAGGGGTGACCATTTTCAGGGATTGGACTTGGATGTGAGGGCCGATGTGTTTACACGCCTGTGCCTGAGGCCTGTGGTACAGAGCTGAAGGTGAGAGTCCAGATTTGAAAGATCTAGCTTATAGGGATTTCGAAAAAGGATGGAGGAGAGCAATGTTCTCAAGGATAAGAAAAAAAAAACCCATACCAAGAAACATCAAGTGAAACTGTAGACTACCAAAGATCTGATCTTCAAAGCAGCCAGAGAGAACAGCCAAATCATCTACAAAGGAATGACAATTAGACTGACAGCATAATTCCTGTGGTAGGCAGAATGATGCCCTCCCCCACCCACTGCAAAGATGTCCACACTTTAATCTCCTGAATCTGTGAATATGTCACCTTAAATGGCAAAAGGAATTTTGCAGATGTGATTAAGGTTACCCTGCAGATGGGAAGATTAGCCAGGATTTTTCAGGTGGGCTCAATCTAATTATATGTCTTTCAAAGAGAGAACCTTCCTAGCTGCTTCAAAGAGATGGCAGCATGAGAAGGATATGATGCTCTGTGCTGGTTCTGAGATGTAGGAGGTTATGGACTTAAAAGCTTCCAGAAAGGATTGAAGCAAGCCTGCCAACACTTCGATTTTAGCCTCAAGAGACCCATACCTGACTTCTGACCTATAGAACCATGAGACAATAAATTTGTGCTCTTTTAAGTCATTAAAGTTGTGGTAATTTGTTATGGCAGTAAAAGAAAATGAATACACTTTTCAACAGCAACAATGAAAGCCTGAAGACATTAGTATAATATTTTCAAAGGCCTGAGGGAAGTTAACTGTTAACCTAGAATTCTATAAATAAGCCAAACTTTTATTTTGCCTTAATTTTGAATAAAGATACTCTCAGACCATCAAAAACTGAATTTACCAACAACAGACTCTCACTTAAGAAACTTAAAGATATACTTAAGGAAGGAGGGAAAAAACAAAAAAAATCTAAGGTGCAAGAAGGCATGATGAGCAAAGAAATGGTAAATATTGATACATATGAACAATCATTGTCTTTACGAAACAACAGCAATAGGAATGTCTAATTTTGTGAATAAAGTAAGAAAAATAAAATATTGAAAAATGAACCATGTAAAATGGTGGAGTAATGAATATAGTTAAAGAGATTTAAAGTCCTTGTGTTATTCAAGAGGAGATTAGCGTTGTTTATTATACAGATTAAAATTTAAGGGCGGCCAATAAAAGAAGAGAAATAAAGTATCTAACTTCTAAATAGTAGACCAAAAAATGGAATTAAGAAAATCCCGGGGCCAGTCCCACAGTATAGTGGTTAAGTTCAGTGTGCTATGCTTCAGTGCCTTGGGGTTCACGGGTTCAGATCCCAGGCACAGACCTACACCACTTGTCAGCCACGCTGTGGCAATGACCCACATAGAAAATAGAGGAAGATTAGCATGGATGTTAGCTCAGGGCGAATCTTCTTCACCAAAAAAAGAAAGAAAGAAAGAAAATCCAGGGGCCAGTCCAGTGGCCTAGTGGTTAAGTTCAGTGCACTCTGCTTCGGTGGCCCAAGGTCCATTCCTGGGCGTGGACCAACACTACTCACTGGCAGCCATGCTGTGGTGGCAACCCACATACAAAATAGAGGAAGACTGGCACACACGTTAGTTCAGGGCAAATCTTCCTCTAGCAAAAAGGGGAAGATTGGCAACAGAAGTTCGCTTAGGGCAAATCTTCCTCAGCAGAAAAAAATCCAAAAGTCTGGAAAAGCAGGGAAGGGGGAAAAAAAGAATCAGGAGGAAAAAAAAAGTGAGACAAATAGCACAAAATGGTAGAAATAATTCCAAATATGTAAGTGACCTTTTTTTTTTTTGAGGAAGATTAGCCCTGAGCTAACTGCTGCCAATCCTTCTCTTTTTGCTGAGGAAGACTGGCCCTGAGCTAACATCCGTGCCCATCTTCCTCTACTTTATATGTGGGACACCTACCACAGCATGGCTTGCCAAGCAGTGCCATGTCTGCACCAGGGATACAAACCAGCGAACCCAGGGCCGCCAAGGTGGAACGTGCGAACTTAACCGCTGCTCCATGGGCCGGCCTGTAAGTGATTTTAATATGTGTAATTTGGACTGAACTTGCTAGTTAGGTCACACACTCCTGGATTGGATTTTAAAAATCCAACCACATACTATTTACAGGAGATATAAGAAAATCATTAAAATTACAGAAAGATTGAAAATTAAAAGAAAAAATGTAATTAGCAAACACTAACCGAAAGAAAGCTGGTGTAGCTATATTAATAATGACAAAACAGATCTTAAGTTAAAGAGTGTTATTAGGGATAAAGATGATTATTTGATAATAAAAGTTTCAATTAATCAGGAATAGATATAATGATAAACCTGTATGCAGTTAATAACAAAACCTCAAAATATATAAAGCAAAAACTGACAGAATTACAGGCAAAACTGATAAATCAACTATGATAGAGATTTAACACAGCTCTCCCAGTACTAATCAGTACTGTGTCATCTGACACAGTAAAAAAAAAAATTTGTAAGACTATAGAAGATTTGAATAACACAATTTTTACCTCATGTACATATACAGAGCCATCTACCCCACAATTAGAGAATACATATCTTCTGAAGTATATACTCAACAGTTATGTATATTGACCATACTCTAAGTCCAACAACTTTAAAGACATTCTCAACTGGACCATGTTCTGTGACTATCTCATCTATATATATACTATAAAATTATATAAATATATATATATATTATATATATAAATATATATAAATATTCTGCAATATTTGTGATTTACACAGCTAAAACAGTGCTTATATTATTCATAACCTTAAAGCTTATTTTAAGAAAAAGGCAGAAATTAATCAGCTAAGCATCCAATTGAAGAAAAGAAAATTAGAGTAAACTTGAAAAAAGAATAAAAACAAAGTAATGAAATAGAAACAAAACATATAACAGAGAGAAGTAGAGTCAATAGCTGTTTCTTTGTAAAGATTTTAAAAATTGACAAATCTTTGTTGAGACTGATGAAGATAAAACAAGAAAAGGTACAAATAAGGAATTTAAGGAATAAAAAGTGGCTGTAAATAAGATACATTAGAGATCTAACAATAAGATAATACTAGAAACAATTTTGTGCTAATTGAAAATTGACAAAATATAGATTTTCTTAGAAAAATATAACCTACCAAAACTGACTGAAGAACTAGAAATCTTGAGTTTTCTAATATCCATTAAATAAGTTTAATCAGTAGTTAAAATTTTACCTAGTAAGTAAACAAATACAACAGGCTAAGATGCTTTTACTAGTGAGTTCTATCAAATCTTGAAAGAACAGATAATTCCAATCTTATGCAAAATTTTCTGGAGAACAGAAATAGAGAGAACACTCCCCAACAAATTTTTCACGGATAGTTTAACTTTGATACCAAAAATAGACAACAGTATAACAGGAAATATACAGACTGATTCATTTATATAGATGCACAAATCCTAATCCAAATATTAACAAGTATAATTCACCTCTGTATAAATAGATAAATCATGGTCAAATTGGGTTTATCTCAGAAATGCAAGGATAATTTAACTTTAGAAAATCTATTAATGTAACTCATCATATAAATATATTAAAGGGTATGCTCATTTCAATAAATATAGAAAACTCATTTGACAATTCATAAAAAGATATCTATCAAAAACCTAAAGCAAGCTTCCTCTTTCATGGTAAAACATTAGAATGATTGCCCTCAAAATCAGGAATGAGACAATGGATGCTTCCCATCACCACTTATCTTCAGCAATGAATTAGAGCTCCTGGCAAACACAGTAAAGAAGAACAAACAAACACTAAAAATGGTGGGAAAAAATGTCATTAATCACAGGAAATACGATTGTCTATAGAAAATCCAAGAAAATATGGAGATTATTAGAATTAATAAAAGCATTCTGCAAGGTTCTAAATAGAAGTTATACATAAATCAATTTCATTCCTATGCACAAGAAACAGTAAATGTAAGGACCATTTTTTATACCATTAACAATAGCAACAGCAAAAAAATAAGGTAAGTAGAAATAAATTTAACAAAAGATGTATAAAAACTTCATGAAAAAAATTAAAAACTTCACTGAAAGGCATTAAAGAAGATCTAAATAAATGGAGAGAGATACTATCTCTTTATCAAGAGGAAGACTCAATATAATAGAGATGTCTATTCTCCAAAAATTAATCTTAATCAATTCAATGCAATTTCAATGAAACTCATTACAGATTGTCTTCATAGAACTTGATGGAGAAACTATAAAATTTATATTAAATATAAAGGCCCAAGAAGAGCCAAGGCAATTTTAAAGAAAAAGAAGGTTGAGGTGACTTGACCTACAACATATCATGACTTATTATAGAACCACAGTAATCAAGATGTAATATTGGTGCAGGGATGGACAAACAGACCAACTGAATAGAATAGAAAGCTCCAAAACAGACCTGTGCCAAGATGGAAACTTGAGAATGTATGTATCTTGAATATATTTATATGTATCTCGAATATATACATATTAAATATACATGTATCACTATATATGTATTGAATATACATAAAATGTACATATAAATTTATAAATATGTCTGAGATACATCTCATCTATATATATACTATATAAATTATATAAATATATATAAATATTCTGCAATATTTGTGATTTACCTTTTCACACTGCAGGTCTTATGGTGTCAATATTTTTATGGCACATTTAAAATTTCCCAGTAAATATCTGCATTTAGAAGCTAAGTACCACTTAAAAGTCAGAATTTCTATAATAAAGAATACAAGTGATTTCTTATTCAAGTTTCCTTGTTCAAGTCAAAACTGAGTATTTGATATTTGCATTTTTGCTCACTGGTTCTTTTTATTTTCTGAGTATTATGTGACTATCTGTATGCATACTTTTCTCAAGATAGAGCACTGAGTGTGTGTATATATATGAATGATGGAGGACCAATCTCAATAGATGGTCTTGGACAACTGGTCAAGGAAATGAAAAACAATAAACTTGGATCCTGTCCTAGGTCAGGTTCCCTAGAAGCAGAGCCTGAGATGGGGATTCTTATTCAAGTGACTTATTGGGGGAGTACTCTTGGGAATATGGGAGATGGCATAGGGCAGGGGGAAAGCTAGCCAGAGTGTGGTCTTATTTGAAGACTAGCTTCAGTCTGATTCTAAGGGAAAGCTCTACAGCACAAATTGTACTGTTAGAGTAAGTCAAATACTGTAGCAAAGGTTGGTCTTTTGAAGTGCTATCAGTTATTGGCCTAGGTCTGTCCTTGAGGGTGGGAGTGAGAGCCTTCTAGCAAGCTGGTTCCTGCTGGGCCTGCAATTCTTCAGAGAAGGAGGCAGCAAGAGTTCTCAGCCAGCACTCATGGCAGGTAGGGGAATGGTTGTACTGGGCAGATGAAGGGGATACATCTGGCCAGTAAAGGTGGGGAAGAGTGACCAATTGTCCTGATTTGCCTGACCTTCCAGGCTTTAGCACCCAAATTCCCTCATCCTGGGAAACCCTCCCAGGACATACAAAAAAAATCCCTGTCTTTTGTGATGGATATGGAAGGTTGAGGGAAAAGTACAAAACCCATATGACAGCCCAAAAAATAGGGGCCGACTCATAAGGCATCTCTTATATAAG